TCGTCACTTAATTGCATTGCACACCACGCGCCTGTCTGTCTGTTTGTTTGTTTGCATGTAAAGAAAGAAGGGTAACGCCCGTGAAACAGACGTATTGGATTAGTTATCAAAACATACGAGGGTGTTCATTGTATTTGTACATGTTCGTTGGTGGATAGTGGTCCAGAGTTTTTTTGTTTTTATTTTATTTTGTATTCAAGGATGATCAGATAACTATTGAGTAGAGCATGATTATCTCAAATGACTAAAATATAACTTATTTCATATCTTTTCTAGATAAATCATAGAGATATTTATACAAAACTTGATGTGTTTTTTTTTTCTTCAATATTGTTCTAATATATATTATTATATAATCATTGAGATAGAATTTTATGTTTTTAATCTTTCAAGAAAATCTACATAGAAAAATTGATTATATCATTCAAAGACTATGAATATCTTTTCCTATAGAATAAATTTGAAACTAAATATCATATAAAACAAAAAAAACAAAAAAAAGTTTTTTTTTTTATTTCTGTTTGCTTCGATGGCATTAAATGTCCTCATTGCTAAGTGTCCATCTGTGCTACATATATACAAAATGACTTTTCAGAACTCACATCTTAAGGCTATAGTAGCGGCTGTATTCTCTTATTTCTTTTAATGTGTTTATATTCGTTTTTTTTTGTATTATGTATATACATATATATGTGTGGGTGTGTGCGTGTCTGTTCATAGTATAGAACCCTTCCGGCATCTCTTTCATTCTTCGATCTATACTAGACCTTGACTAGAATATTTTCTTTGTCGTTCTTTTTTTACAGTTTAAAAGAATACTTGAAATTACTAATGAGAAGAAATTTTTAAAAAAATCAAATGTATTTTTATTTTTGTTTCATATATGTATAGGTCATATCAAGACGGTTCATTGGTCTTTGAAGTACGTTTAGGTGACGTTATGGATCTTATATGTCCATTTTATGATGAACAACAATCATACATGACCAGTGAACTAGAACAATATGATATATATCGAGTATGTTTTGGTTTTTTTTTACAAATGTTTCATGTTATCTAAACAAAATTATTATCATTTTTTTAAAGGTAACTGAAAATGAGTATCAAACATGTAATATTAATTTATTTGGTAACGATCCAATGACACGTCGTGTAATAACATGTAACAGTCCATATGATATTATGAAATATACACTTAATTTTCGTTCATATTTACCAATACCAAATGGTTTTGAATTTCGTCCTAATCAAACTTATTATTTCCTTTCAACATCATCAAGTAATCATCAATGTAACAAACTTAAAATACTTGTACATGATTATTGTAAGTATACATCTTCACTATCTCGTTTATAACCAGATGACAACGATGTCGATGTTTTGCCTCATTGCACTCATAGACATATATGAGACGACATGATTGTATAATAGGACTGATGAAATGTAAATCGAATCATGTTAGATTTGATATATCTCGCTCGAGCGCGTTTGTACTGATTATTTGAGAGAATGAATAAGTGAATGACTAGACAAATTCAATAGTGACTATACATATTCATCAATTAGTGAAATCATAACTAGTTGTAGTTTGGTTTTTTTTTTTTTATAGAACAAAAGATAGATAGTTTTCTATTGTCAATAATTCAAGTTTCTTCTATATTATTTCAACAAGTTTGATTTTATAATTAATAAAAACTAGACAATATATAATTTATAAATTTCGATAGACTAAAACAATATATCTGTTGATCGATTGCATTTTACTATTGACCACGCCTTTTCTGTTTTATTTGTGATAGTCATATGGTTCATAATATGGATCACTGGAATAGCGAGTAGCGATGGTGATTGCATTAGATTAGACAAGAAGTATAGTCGTATGAATTGGCGGTTCCTTTTGAGGCTTTCATTTTTTACATTGTTGATGCTATATATATATATATATGCATGAGTTCACCATCAAACAAAGATACTTTTGTTATTTCTCTTGATGTGTAATATAAACTTCTTGTTGATATTCAATATTAATTAAATAATAGACAATCTTGTTGTCTAGATAAATTATTATCGTATGAAAATCAATCAATTAACTTTTGCAATAGATCATAGGATTTATTCAATGGAATTTTTATTATCGAATACAGATTAGATCTAATGAGAGAACTCCGGCAGGTGTCAAATCACTTTTCAACTGAGCTACTGTTGTTCATTTGATGAGTACTAGAAAAGTTTAGAATGATTTGATTTTATCAAGCTTCGATTTCCACATAATATGAGATTAGTTAGTTGTGAAACTAAGTATTTCCTTTTTGAAGATGTAAATATATGAACAAAATTGATTTTTACACATGAAAGAATTTCGCATATTGAATATCTCGGAATAGCATATATAAGAAAATTAATAATTTGTTCTTGAACTAATTTCATTAAGAACTTTGTTCATGGTCATAGATTTTTGTTGAAAAATTCATCTTGAAAACGAAGGCTCAAAAAACCAACCCATTCTAAACATTTCTATTACTTATTAAATAAATATTGTCTCGGTAGGAAAATGATTTGATACTTGAAGAAATTCCCTTGTGCGTAATTTATTTAGTATGGTTTCGGATACATGAATAAAACTCTTAATGAATTTCTCTTATCTATTTAGATCGTATGTCAATATCTACAACTACATTATCGTTTATCAATGATCAAGAACGAAAACCTATTTCATTTTCTCATTATTCTCATCATCGACATGTATCTTCATCTATAGATAAAAATAATCATAATGATATTCATCGTCCATTATTACATGCAATTAAAGTTCAACGTCATAGTGATCCATATTCAATAAAATGGATAACTGAAGGACCACATCGAGATATGAATATTGGTTAGTATGTTCTTTCTCTCTATAGTTCTTGTAAATTGATTTTTCTATTTAAAAATTTTGTTTAGATAAAATTTATCGAACAACAAATTTAATGGATACATCATCTTTACCGTCACAAATGTTTAGTCTTGCATTGAGTTCTTCATCAATGAAATTATCGATATCGTATATTCTTCTATGTCTTCTACTTTCATTAAGATAATGTAGAAATATTTGTCAATGTGTTTTTGTTTTTCTTTTGCCTTGACACCGGTGTTCATGAAATTCTTTTCTTTTCTTTTTTTTTTTATTACAATTGAAATATTGTTTTGTTCAAAGAAGATCTTGATTTATATACTTATTGTGTGTTGAACAAATGGTTGAAATAATAATCCTTTTTTTTTCTTGCTTTTTTTAAAAGTTTAATTCATGTTAAATTACACAGAAAATAATATGAGAGAACAATTTATTGTTTTTATTTGTCAAATAAATAAATATGAATTCATCCTTTCTTTCTTTTTTTTTTTTATTAAATGAATTCTAAAACGTATGATCAGTCATTTGTCTGTTAGTAAAACAAATTTGGTTGTCAGGATAATCATGTTTGTAATGTTGATCAAATAGTGAGCATGAAAAGGTTTTCGATATTTGTAAAGGAAGAACATCTTGTGACTTTGAAGTCGTAGATTATACGAAATTGTGTTCGCGATGAACAACCACGTAAATATATTGCAGCAGAAGAACAATCATATCTTTGTCTTTTTTCCAGATGTAACGAGTATTTTAAAATTTTAATAAATGTTTATAAAATAATTATAAATTAATAAAAACACGCTGGTATTATTGTCATTATTTAGTTCGATGCTATAATAAAAATATATATATATATTTTAAAATAAATGTGAATAATATAAACTTGAGTTATAGAACGAATACGAATAGTAATTGCAGAAAATACGACGAATTATTTTTCTATTTTTATTCTTCTAATAAATATTAAATATTTTGTTTAGCTAATATCTCAATCATCGTCAGAGCATATCTACAATCATTAATACGACTTCATTTTGTTATTATAAGTGCGTTATGACCATCACCTATTGATGGTTGAGATGTGCATAGTTACGCTACTCTGTAGGGTAGAGTAAGATTTAGACAGTTTTTCTCAGTCAGAATACAGCATACAAAAAAATTTATCCTACATATCTCTAATTGATAGAATAATTTAATGTACGAATATGTTCATTTTATCTACTACTACATATATAGTTTAAAATACATATAAATAATATAGATAATAATTTTATAGACATGGTCTGATGATTGATATATTAGTTAAACAGAATAGTTAATATTTTTTAAAAGAATAAAAATAAGAAAATAATTCATCGTATTTATTGCCATTGATTTCATATTCTTAAAATAGAGTTTAATGAAGAGATAGAAAATCAGAAAGATATTGATATTTTCATGTTAATTTACCTGATCCGAAACTTGTAATTTTTAAATATAAGTAAGTTTTTTATTTTGTTTAATTTCGAGTGTAACAGCTACTGATAAAAACGATGAGTATTTAATGTTATCATCTGTATCTATATTTTGCCAAATTATCAAATACGACTTTATAGGTCTATATAATTAATCATATAAGCGTAAATCATGCATGACTCGATCAAAATAATAATGACATTGTCGTATTCTTTATACTTGGTATATATAACATACTTCATTGTTCTTTCAATAACAAATAAAATATTTTTTTTTTTTTTTTCTTCAACAATTGATCTATTCAATGAAATATTTTTTTTTTTGCTTTCTTTCTTTTTCTACGATTTGTAAATGCTATGCATAAGATATCATAAATAGCTTTTTCTTGTCAAATGATTATAAAATTAACTTGTAATCATTGAGAATTATCAATAGATGATTAAATTGTATGCAATGAACATAATTAACTAGGAAAAATAATCTTTTATACTATTCAATGTCAAAATAATTCGATTATTACCAGTTCAGTGTTTCTTTGTCTTTAATAAAAAAAAAATTTTTTTTTATTCTTTCCAAAATAGTTATAAAAATACCTATTTGGAAAGAACAATACAACAAACACTGTATATATGTATATAGAAAACAACAATAACTGTCAACTAAGAAATTTGATCCATTGCGTACTAGGTGTTGATGAACTTTTTGATATAAATTCTCTATTACCCATAAGAGATCGTAAAGGTTTTGGAATTTGAATTTGTTTTGTTTCCTAATAATAAAAAGAATCAATAAAAATAAACAAAAAAATTTCTATTAAAAGAACAATACCGGATTCCAATTTAATTCAATAATAGCAGTAAGCATTCTCGGTATAGCCATAGCTGTTCCATTTAACTACGGTGGAGAAAGAAAGAAAAATATTCTTATTAAAATATAAAGAAAATTTAACATACAGTGTGAACAAATTGTTCATCACCATTATCATTAATATATTTAATATGAAGACGACGTGATTGAAAATCAGTACAATTTGATGCGCTGCTGATCTTTATAAAAACGAAAAATTTACATAAAAAAAAAAAAGAAAAAGATATTCAATAATAAAACTTACTTCACCATAAAATTCTTTTGCTGGCATCCAAGTTTCAATATCATATTTTCGATATGCTGAAAGACCAAGTTCTTCTGTTGGCATATCTAGTATTCTACAAATAGATTTGAAAAAAAAAACGAAAAAATTTAATTTTAATATATTACAAGAAAAAAATAAATAATGCAACCTAAAATGTAATCCAAGATCTTCATACATTGAGGTCTCTATTCGAACAATTTCATCATGCATTTCTTGTGAAACTTTTTCATCATTAGTTGTAACAGCAAACATTTCAACTTTAGTAAATTCATGTACACGATATAGATTGCCTTCACCTTTTCCACCAGGTAATTCAGCTCGATAACAACGACTACATGCAGCTAATCTAGAAAATAAAATTATCAATAAGAAATAAACACAAAAAATGTCTGAAAAATTCGCTGTTAAAACAAAAACATGAATATCTTTAAATCAGTTTAAGAGATGATGTATAATTATTTTTTTTTCTTCAATAGGATAGTACGTTTGTTGAAGTTTTATTTGTATATATTTTTTGATAAAATGTCTATGGTTACAGCTATTAGGAAGAATACCCCTTCTCAACAACTATGACTAGCTGTAGTTGTGGACGAAAGGCCAGCCTGATACACAGTTCTTGTGCTTAATTGCTTGGGGACTACATAGATAGTAACTAGCCACAAGAGCAAGTATATATATATCATAATGTAGTCGCATGCTATCGAACGTGTAGTTTGTCTAGAGTCATTTCATAGCTGATAATATTGAGGTTTGCACACGGTACGTTGTGAATACGTGTCGAACAACGTAATTATTCAGCCATGGCGACTACTCTGCAAATATTAAGGAAAAATTCAAGGTAAGGTTAACATACAAATGTCATGTCCGTAGAAAACGCCACTATTGAGTGTTTCATACTGATATAGCAACTTACTTTACTTTATGAACAATACTACACGGAATTATGATTGACTATCTTCCAATGAAAATATAAAGAAGTATAATTTGTTCAATGATTTCACGAACGAGATTCACAAGATCGAATTGAGGTTATTCAAGTCAAAAATATCGTTGTCTCACAAGTTCGTACTATCAGATTCTTGATAGATTTTGTCGCTTCCATAATATTATAGAAGATTTTCATACGATATCATCTGATCTATAAGATCTTACGTCGAATTTGTTTTTCATCTAAGTACATGACATTAATATTAATATCAGTATATATCAAGCATCAAGGAAATTCATTTCTCTTCAAAATGAATCGATTGATATATTCCATGCGATAGTAATCATTTTAAAGCTTTGTTTTTTTTTCCATCAAATTATACAAAATAAAACTTCTAACAATATTCTATTATATTAGAAAAACAAACAACAACATGTAGAAATTATTTGATAGATATTCACAGCGAACTTTTTCAGATTCTCTATATTTTAAATATATTATATTTACTTAAGTGGTAATTCATCTTTACGAAATGTATTATGTTTGAGTAAACCAGCTAAAGGCATTTCAGCTGTACCAGCAAGACAATATCGACCAAATTCTTCACCATAATCTAATTGATAAACTTGTGATCGTTTACCTCGAGTTGCAAATCCACATGATTCCTAATACATACAGAAAAAGAAACATCTATTTTTATTTTTTTTTAATCTATAATAAAAATATATATTTATTACAATAATGCCTCGATGAATAATATCAGGAACAGAAACCATTTTAAAACCCTAAAACAAAAAAAAAAAAGATAAATAAATAATGCTAAAAAGAAAGAATTTCTTACATTTTGCGTAAGTTTTTCAAATGCATAATACATTAAAGCTCGTTCTAAACGAGCAAAATCACCAAATAATGCATAAGCTCCACGAAATGATACATGACCCATATTTCTATATTAAAAAAAAAAATAAAATTAGTATTTTTAAAAATACAAAAATAAAACGTACTCTAATTGCATTAAATTTAATTCTTGACCAATTTGATCAATTGTTTGTCGAGGAATATTTGTTTCTGAAAAATAATTTAAAAAAAAATCATTTTCATATTATATCAAATTCTTTTACCTGGTTTTTTTCCTACAACACGAAGTGTACGTGCTTGTTCTTGATTACCAATTGGCTAGATACACAAACAAAACAAAACAAACATGATATATAATTATTCAAATAAAAATAAGACTACCTACGATATCTGGATGTGTGTTATTCGGTATTCTTATTGCATGATTATATAAATCTTGAATTTTAAGTTTAATTTGATCCTTATGTTTTTATATTTAAAATAAATTTAATAAAATTTAAAAACAAAAAAAAAGCAATTCTTTACTTCGCCTTGTATTGAATCAAGTTTTTTGTCTTCAATACGATGAAATAAATTTTGTATATCACGATGAAGTGTTAGCTATATATATATATATATAATACATATGAGAATATATATATATATATTTTTTTACATACAATATGTTCAATATCAACAGATTCATTTTCTTTTCGTTGTTTTATATTATTTGCAATTGTTTGTAAATTTTCATTATTTAATATATAATCCCAATTGAGTGCAGCTGATCGAAGATCGAGTTCAATATATGGATTTAAACGATTTATATACGTTTTCACTTGATCCAAATAAGCACGATAATCATACCATGGATTAAATTTTGGTGTTAATGTTGAATGAAAACGAATCGATAAATTTAATAAATATTTAACTCGATACATTTTATTATTATTATTATTTTCTTTGGATGAATAAATGTAAGATGTAACTAGTCAATCCTAATAATTCAATTCATTTATATATATCTGACTAATCAGAACGAACAATATCGATAGATGGCATAATTAAAAAGAGTTATTGAAAATTTTTGATTTCGTTTTTTTTCTGTCTGTCTCTCAATATCTTTTGATAGATCGTCTATCGTTAGACAAATATATAGATTATCAAAATTTTTCTCATTAACATTTTGTCTGATCACATGTGTTCAGTATAAATTAGTTTTCTTTTTTTCTTCTTTAAATATTATTATGCATCTATCAAACAAACAACGTTTAATGAATAAAACATTTACAATACTATCAAATAAATATAATAATGTTGAACAAGATCAATCGAATTGTATTTTGGAAAATATCAGTCAATTATCAAAAACATTAGACAATAATCGATTTTGTACATTTACCAAATATAAGATCAAACAACAACATCAACCAACAACAGTTATTGTCAATCAACATCAACAACGATATTTTGATTCACCAACAATGATTACATTAGACGATGATGATGATGATGATGATGATGATGATGATAATAATATTCCTTTAATTCGTTGTTCAAATAATAAAAAATCGATTACTACTAATTCAGAACCAAGTCTTGATGATACTGAACTTAGTGATCTTTTAATCTTTACTAATCGTAAGTTCGGAACAGAGGTATTCACAGGATAGAGTTAAGTTTTTATTTTGAATCATTAAAGCAATTCTTGTTGAAAAAAAAATTAAATCAGAACAATGTATTATTTTTGCTGAATATCCTGTCCCGTTCTCTTCGATTTTATGAAGCATGACAGAGTAGGGAAAATATCACGCTATGAATATCTCTAGTTTGGAATAACTTCAATTAAGATAAATATTATTTTATTTTATTTATAGCAAATCGTATTTTAACAGAATCAATGCAAGTTGTTATAAGTCGTCATCCATCATTACAAGATTTTAAGTATGTTAATGATATAAGCAGTGTATTAATTGAACAACAATATAAAGAAGAACCTATTTATCAAGAATTAATTCAAATCGATCATTTAATATCAACACCACCAATAGATCATATGAATGATATTGATGAAAATAAAGAAAATCGTCCTCCATTAATGCCAATTAAATATCATATATCACGTATACCTGTTTGGACACCATCAAATAATAATAAGAATATGAATACACCAAAAATATTAAGTAAAAGCAAAAAAAATGACGAAACAAAGAAAAAACCAATAATTAAACCATGTCTCACCGGTAAATGAATTTAATATTTAAAGTTTTCAGTACTATAATAGTTTTTCGAGAGAATATTTTCTTTAATAAAAAATAACCATCCGAAAAGTTCTATTTGTATTTGTAACTTTTATATTGACTCAGTTTCCGTTTGAAATTGAAAAGCAGGTGTTTCTTTCGTCTATAATAAAAGATCGTTTACTAAACTGTATATCATTTAGTTCTCATTATGATATTTAACTGCTAATCTTAATAGTAGATTAAATTCTTCTACATCTTATTCGTTGAAATGATTTGACTTCAACTTATTCCAAATCTTATACTTCTGAATAATTAATGTAATTGTTATTTTCATGAAATTCATGTTTTATTTTGTAATTTAAACTACGAGTTACTATTATTATAAATCCCATTTTAAATAAAATAACTGTTTTTGAACTCGATTAAAAAATATAATCAAGACAATACATAAATTTTACAAGATTTTCTGCTCTATTTATAATTTTTCCAAAGAGATTGATTATGAATAAAATAAAAATATAATTCATAAACGAATATAGTGTTTACTACTTAATAAAGAAATGATTTTTTTTCTTGTATCATTTAGATTTACTTGATGAATGGTCTCATATGACACCTAAACTCAAAGAATTATTGTCAAATACACGTAAAATACCACTTCATGTATGTATCTATTTTTTCATTGATTTCATATATTGATAGTACTAATTTAAGACGCCTGAATTGACAACAAATAATATTGAATTTCGTCGTCTGAAACAATTATTAAACGATATGGAAATGACAATATCATCATGGACAAATGCTATTAATCAGTGTCGTTATGTTCTTCAACATGCTCAAAAACAATTTCATCGTTCATAGATTTTGATTTTTTTTTATTTGTTACTGTTAGTTTTGAATATTGAAATTAATACTTTTTTTAATATAGAGTCTATTTGTTTTGTTTCAGTATGAATAGTTTGAGAAAGTTAATGAATCATGTGAAACATATTTTCGATTGTTATGTATCAATATTCAATATAATTGTGATTTTTTTTAATAATTCAAATATGTAATTTTATTAACATAGTTTTTATAAATGTTGTTGAATGAATAAATAAATAAATAGAACAAAAGGTCGATAAACATATAAAGTGCCCGCAATATGAAATTCAATTTTTCGACTTTTTTTTACATCATCTGATAGAACTTGAGCTGCTGATCATGAAAATCTACTTTTTAGCCTTAATGAATGCTTCTCTCCAATCGAAAAATACGAAATACTCGAAGGGTGTCGTTTTCTTCAAAAAACACATCTTTTCTAAAATGTGTCAAATGTTCTACTTCGTTCTTTTTTTCAGATTCAGCATCAAAAATTAAGTACAGACAAGTTGGTAAATCGATTCTAGACCAAAAACTTTATTGGTGGTGGCGCTTCGAATCACGTCGAGTGAGATACGTATAGGTCGATTTCGTAAACCTATCTAGTTTTTCGACGTAATTGATAAAGGCAAATATTTTATTTCATCATACTACCAGTTACAAAGTTACAGACCACTTTTGTTTTCTTTCTTTTTCTGCGTCGATAAAAATCAATTTTACTAAATTGTAGGCAAAATAGCTAGAATTTTGCCCGTAGTTCTCAAATTTGTTCATCAAAACTATGTTTTCTTGCAATAGAATTATCATATTTGGAATCGGCGTGAAAAATCGCGTCGATCTATGCATATGTCGAAAATTTTTATCACCTTTCAATTTTTCGTGAAAATTTCAGTCACTGCATCAGTGGAAAATTCGAAAAAAACTGAAGTCAACAGAAATGATAAAGACATACATAGATCGACGCGATTTTTCACATCGATTCCGAATATGATAATCTTATTGCATGATAACATAGTTTTGATGAAGAAAATTGAGAAATACAGGCAAAATTCTAGCTATTTTGTCCACAATTTAGTAAAATCGATTTTTATCGACAAAGGAAAGAAAAGAAAAAAAAGAATGCGTAGTTTGAGGACAAGTGGTATGATGAATGGAATAAGATAAAATATTTGCCTTTGTCAATTACGTCGAAAAACTAGATAGGTTTACGAAATCGATCTATACGTATCTCACTCGACGCGATTCGAAGCGCCACCACCAAAAAAGTTTTCTCTCTAGAGTCGAGTTACCAACTTATCTGTACTTAGTTTTTGATGCTGAATCTGAAAAAAAGAACGAAGTAGAACATTTGAAACATTTTAGAAAAGATGTGTTTTTTTGAAGAAAACGATACCCTTCGAGTATTTCGTATTTTTCGATTGGAAAGAAGCATTCAGTAAGGTTAAAAAGTAGATTTTCATGATCAGCACCTCAAGCTCTATCAGATGATGTAAAATGAAGTCGAAAAATTGAATTTTGTGTTGGGGGTAGTTTATATTTAATATAAGTTATTATTTCAAATAGATATTATAATTTTCTCTTTAGAATTTATCAAGGTCAATTTTTGATATTTATGTTTTCGCATCGATTGAGAAAATAATGACAATAGTAAATGTTTATTCAGTGCCAAATGTTTCTAAGTATAAGACAAGGATCTCTGTCTTCCATTACAATTAACATTTCTATATTGATCTTTATTTGTTCGATCTCGATGATAAACGAGCAAACATCGTTTCATTTCTTTATATTGACTATTGTACGAACGAGGTATGCTTGCTTGATTTTCTAAAATATGAAAAAGCCTTTTTTTGTGGGCGAAAAGAATAACATAGTCATTTTAATAGATATGTGACATGGTAGAACAAAAATTTAACAACAACATAATTTTTCTTTTCTATAATATTAAGCATCTAACTCAAATGCAGATAGTGGTTCTTATAGTCAATCGAATGTGATACATTTAACTTTGTAAGAGAAGATTGCAGGAAATGCGGTGACCTGTCATTTTGTTTTTTTTTTAAATGGCATTGTTAAAAAATAGCTCCAATAATATCCTCTAAAACCTGAAAACTACAATGTCCAATTTTTTTTCACAGAAAATCTTGCATCAAATAAAAAACTCCATTGACTATTCAAATGACTATCTGGAATTGAGCTGAATGCTTAATATTATAGAACAAAAAAAAAATTAAAAAAATGTTACGTCATAGGGAAATTGAATTTTAAACAGATTTTGTTTTTTAATTAGGTGTGAAACTACAAAATAATTTTCTTTCATATAAAAATGAATCCTAATTTTCATTTCTATTAAGAGAACACAATATATACTTGTTATTTTTAAATAGATAGAGTATTCATTTTCATTATTCATATTCTAATATATGCACAAATGACTTCTTCATCATCGACATGAGAAAATGATGTTCGAAAGTATTTTTGATGAATAAACAAATCAACATGTTTTTCTATTCTGAGCATCAGTTTTCTGCAAGAAGACACATTTATTATTCTATCACAGAGAATACGTAAGTTTAAAAGTCCTTCATTGTAATTATATAATATATTCATAGTTTAAATATTATCTATGAGCTAGATCAAATTCGAAGATAAATAAACATCGAGAAAAAATAAGATCATTTCCTTTTTTTTTTTCCTATTTTTGCATCTTAAATCTCAACTTCATCTAATACATACAGTGGATCCCAAAATTATTCGACCAGATTTATTTTCTATTGTCATAAATGTTAATACGAATCCAAATAGTGATTGGTGTAGAAAATTTTTATTTCCGACAAGAATTTTCGAAGATGAAAGTGATTGCTAGTTTTCTAAAGAAAGAATTTTTGAAAAATCAAAACTCAAGTTTTTTATCTCCTGAAAATCGAGAAATATCAATTTTTTCGAAAGGTATAAAAGTCATTTTTTTTTCTCCTATTTTATGTAGTAACACCATTTTTGTCTTCTGTAAAATAGATGTTTTCTCAATAAATAATCGTAGTAGAGAATTGTTTGCTCTATCATTCTAAATAATTCAAATAGAATACTATTTGTGATTTCTGGGAGATGAAAAACTTGGATTTGTAGTTTTCAGAGACTCTATCGTTGAAGCACTAGAAATCATTTTCATCCTTGACAATTCTTGTTGTAAATAAAATTCTGTACGAAGATCAATATTTGAATTCGTATTAATGTTTATGACAATAGAAAATAAACCTGGTCGAATAATTTTCAAAGTCACTGTATATAATCAATTAAAATTCATAATAAGATAGTTAGTGTTAATAGGTAATCGAAGAAATTTACAAAAGAGACAAATAAATTTTTTGTTAGCTTAGCAATTTTAATCGAAGATTTAATAATTTAGATATACGAAACGATGGCTACTTTTTATGATGATAATATATGATATTATTAAGGAGTGAGCCGAATATTTGACAATGTTTTATATATTGAAATGCATTGGTAGTGTATAAATCTTGAAAGGATTCGAAAAAAGTTTTCTCGAGAGGCAAAAATCTTATTTTTCTGAAGACAAGTCTACATTAAATAAATTCTGTAAATATATAGTAATTAAGGTTGGTCTCTACTCTGCAAAATGACGTAGGAATGAAAAGTTTTAGTTAATCCGCTTAAGAAAAAAGATGGTAGAGTTGTGTGACAGAGGATCATTTTGTACTGAAAAGTCGAAAATCAGAAAAATAGACTTTATTGTATCCGAATAATTGTAGAGAATTATTTTTTGAATCTTTCAATATATATTCGATAAAACTTTGTGAAAATTTTTTTCAGTTTTTTTCAAGCTCTACTTATCACTCAATAGTCAAAAAAAAATAGAAAATTCTAAACATATATTTTGGGAGAACGCAAAATATTTAAATATACTAAAAATAATCATATGTTTAGTCTAAAACCTTTTGGTCTATTATTTATATGAAAAGATCAAACATACTTTTTTGTCCTTGATAATTATTAAAAGAATTACATCGTTGTATTATAAGATCTTTAAAAAAAAGGTCATTGCCATCGGAAATAGATTGTCTGGAGAATCTTGAACAAGTTCTTGTTGATATTAAAGACGATGATAATGATAATAATTCTATTTGTTTCTTTTCCGGTGTACTTATTTTTTCATTTGAAGAAGATTTTTTATTAGAAATAATATATTTTTTATATTGCATTTTATTTTCAAGTAAGAGTTTAAGTGTATCAATACAAATTTTCAATTGATCAATTAAATTATGAATATTATTTTCATTTGTTAAATTAGAATCTATGATTGGTTTTGTTTGAAATATTTCTTTTGACGTTATACTTGTTGATGATAAAACATGATGTAATACATAAGGAGCAATTGTAGATGAAAAATAAGGTACAATAGAAGAAGGAGTAGGAGTAGAAAATAAATGAGGTGTAGACAATGTTTCAAAATCAATATGTGAACCTTAGTATTAAACAAGTTGAGAATATATCATTCGTGAAGTTTTTTTTTTCTATTTCTACCGGGTATAATAATATCTGGTTTAGTCTGATTTTTATCATCAGTAAATAATTGTGTAAATGTTAATGAACTAGTTGATGAATCACTGACAGAAATAACCTTCAATTTTGTCATACTCATCGATTTTGACATTTTCTTTTCAAGTGCTTGTTGTTGCCAGAGAGTATTAGAGACAAGTGTTGTCACAATGTTTGTAGTGTGATTTGTAGTTGAGGATGACACTAATAATTTGTCTATAGTTGATTCTATTGGTGATATTTGTAGTTCAACAAAAGGAAGTGGTGAGTTGTATTCAGTAAGATAGTTTTTAGATTTTTCTAATGGATTTGCTATGAGATTAGTTGATCTAGGTTTTTTATTCTCTATAAGATAGATATGAAGATAAATTTTAAATTTTAGTTATGTATGATTTGATAATCCTTGTTTTTGAAAATATTTATAGATTTTTTTTTCCTTTAAACAT